GGTCCCAGTTCCAACTGGTCCCAATTCCAACTGGTCTTCAATTGATCCAAGTTCCAAATGGTTTTCAATTTGTCGAAGTTCAAACTGGTCTTCAAGTGGTGCCAGATCCTTTTTGTAAAATAACAATGGCTTTAATCAACTCCTGTAGACTTACAAAAAACACTGAGTTTAAGATATACAAACCATAATTTCTTTAATTAAAAACTGCTTTAAGTCTTCTGCTACACATACTGTACCTCAAATTCAAGCTTATTCTAGAGTCCTTTGCTTTACAGTCCTGTATAAATCAGCATTTTTGTCCGTAATATAGGCCTACTACATTAAAGCATCACTAGAGTTTATTACTGTATATAAAACAATAATCACAAGAACCTTGTGTGTTTGCATGCATTAACCAGCATTCTTTCTATATTGAAGCAGCTGCCACAATGATGCTTTTTCATGTCCGATGGTAGCAAGCTAAATTAAAATTCTTGCTAAAAGATCAGATAGTATGAATTCTGCAGTTGAACAAATCAAGCTTGAAATATTGAATCACGTTGGCTTTTACTAACTTTTTTCGGAGTTTTACACTTGCTGAAAGATATAACAATAACAAAATCTGAAATAAGAATAATAATGGCTAACTTATATATAGAGCACATATTACATGGAAACCCCTATGCGGTTTTAAACACGAAAAAAACATGCCAAGAATGTAAAACAGAGCATATGCATTTCATTGTGCTGGGCATTTTAAAACCCTTTTTTGAAAAAATAAAAATGAATGAAAAATCAGACTATACAGGTCCTGTCTCTTATACACATCTAGATGTGTATAAGAGACAGGTCTATGACTGGTCTAAGTTTACACAGCAATTTTTTATTTTTAAAATAATCTTAATTAAGGTGATATATGTCTAGGGAAACGAATTAAATTGTATTAAATGTACCTTAATAAATAAAATTTTAAATGTGTTATATCCCTTCGAAATTAATGTATAAGTATGATATGCATAATGTACAGTTGCTAAGATAAATAAGAGACTAGAAGTTTTTTTTTTTCAAAAGTGAATTATCAGTTTCCATTCCTGTTTTTTTTTTTTTTAGGTTTCAAAACAGTTACAATTTCAATGTCCCTTAAAGGCCAAATCAAAGGGTATAAATAGAACAAAAGTGTGTACTCCCGTTTATAGAAACGTCATAGCTGTGTAGAATACCCGCGTTCCTTTGTGTACTGACGTATGCCCGCTATTTACTTGGCAAGTAGAAAAACAGACATGAAAATGGTACAGGACGTGGGTGGACATACAAATGACAGCGGGCATCTTACACTGGCTGCGTACTAGGGCATATCGCTTGTTTACCCTCTCAATGAGTGCAGAGGTAGTGCAAAGACTACCTCTAAATAAAGACCACTTTTCTGTATTCGCAAATTGACTATGTCTTATTTTTACTATTCTAACTAGAGACCGAAGCTGCTAACCATGAAAATCCCGGTCCCAAAAGTGGTCTTTGATTGGAGGGAGACCTGTATTTAATAACCGTCATTATATAGTAACTACAGTACATATCATTTATTTTAAGCATGTTGCTAATCAGAACCTAGGACCAGTAAACTTAAAACGTAAAGAACTACCCACTACTCTATCATGCCTATTAATGCCATACCCTAGTAGTAACCCACATTAACTGAATAATAAAACAAACCTCTTACCTCCATAGTGGATAATACTGCTAAACTACCTTCCAAGACTTAACTCCACCATCATGAATTCAAAAACACAGTATTCAACTGAAGTGACCAATCAGAATTGAGTGCAATTCAAGATACTTCCTGGTTCTCTAGTAACAGGTTAACTGTCTGCTGATAGATAACATTATTTTGCTTTCAACCCCAAGATGGATATGTGTATGGTAGGAAGATTAAGTTTAGTGAAACTGCAGTCCCCATCGGGTAGCGCCGATGGGGACTGCAGTTGGGGACTTAAGATAAACAAATATGTATTCTCTACATAGGCAGATTCTAAATATAAAATTGATTAAATAAGTTTATTGAGGTAGACTAATTGGCCCAGTTGGGTGTGTTCCCCCCCCCCCAGGAGAAAAGCCACGATTCGTTTAAGATAAAACAAATATGTATTTTTTACATTGGGCAGATTCTCAAAATAAAATCAATTAAATGTAAATGCATTGAGATAGACTAATTAGCGTTGAACAAGTGATAGACCAGCGTTGCAAATGTAAATTGGGTAAAAACCAGTCGAACCAACTGGACCTATGGGAGGACCATTAAAACAACGGTAGTGGCTATCGGCACTGCCGCAGTACCGATTTGGCACTGCCGCAGTGCCAAAAAAAGCTGCTGTTTTCTATCGGCACTGCTGCAGTGCCAAAAAGCTGCCGTTTTCTATCGGCACTGCCGCAGTGCCAAAAAGTTGCTGTTTTCTATCGGCACTGCCACAGTGCGAAAAGAGCTGTTATTTTCTATCTGCATTATTGCAGCAGTGCGAAAAAAGCTCCGATTTTCTATCGGCACTGCCGCAGTGCCAATAGATTTTTTTAAAAATCATATTTAAAAGGGCACTTTCTTTAAAAGGGGGGTCGACCGCACCCATCGACCCCCCCACGGTACGCCCCTGGGAAGATTAAGTTTAGTGAAACTGCAGTCCCCATCGGGTAGCGCCGATGGGGACTGCAGTTGGGGACTTAAGATAAACAAATATGTATTCTCTACATAGGCAGATTCTAAATATAAAATTGATTAAATAAGTTTATTGAGGTAGACTAATTGGCCCAGTTGGGTGTGTCCCCCCCCCCCCCCCAGGAGAAAAGCCACGATTCATTTAAGATAAAACAAATATGTATTTTTTACATTGGGCAGATTCTCAAAATAAAATCAATTAAATGTAAATGCATTGAGATAGACTAATTAGCATTGAACAAGTGATAGACCAGCGTTGCAAATGTAAATTGGGTAAAACCAGTCGAACCAACTGGACCTATGGGAGGACCATTAAAACAACTGGACATATTGGGCAGACCAGTTGGACCAACTGGACCTATTGAGTAGACCAGTTGAACCAACTGGACCTTCTGGGTAGACCAGTTGGACCAACCGAACCTATTAGGTAGACCAGTTGGACCAACTGGACCTAT